ATAAAGGACCAAGAATAGGAAATTTATATGTGATATTGGAATGTCCCCAATTGCCACGAGGATTTGAATGTAAGACAAACTCAAATCCCGGAGCATTGAGTTTTAGTTTTGGTCAAGTTAAAGTAAGAATTTCATTATTTGATTTAATTAAATCAGTCATGAGTCACAATCTAGTGCACCCTCGTGCCTAGTGTCCCACTTATCTTCTAAACTGAGGTTAAATGTTTGGATTTATTAGAGTCATTTGAAAATTAGGATGATAAACTATCTCTTAAGTTGTGCTTCTAAAATCTAGGATGTCTGCACTTTAGGTTAAACTTGAAGTGTCCTAAAGTGTCTAATCTCAATTAAGTGTCTTTCCACTAACCCTCCAACATCTATAGATCCAGTTTAGCTCGTTATCAGGCTCCTAAAACCTAGGGGTAAACTCATGGTTTTGGCAAATGAATTATGAGTTGAGCTTCAATCTTAGTTAAAGGAATTGAATTTTAAATTGATTCAAAGCTTAAGGGATCTAAGAGTAAGTCCACTAATCTCTCAATCGTTATCTAAATTCTCATTTCTTCTAATTCCAACTAGTCTTCTAATTTGCAATTTATTTTTCCTTATGTAAAAGAAAATGTGGATTGTTCGCTACCCTATCTCCTCTTTAGATTTTATCATCCCAAAAATTCAAATTTCAATTTTAATTTTCTCTCATTTTCTCTTTCCCGCATATGTCCCTTGAGATTATAAATCATTTTTGAATATAATTAAATCAGAAATTCTCATTTTTAACTTGACTGTAAAAAAGAAAACAAAACGAACGAAAAGGTGACCGATCCATTTTTTAAAACTAAGGCAAATCAGCGAAGCTTAAAATAAAATCATGAATGTATCGGTCTAAAACGTTTAAATTCGTTAAAAAATGATCGAATCAATCCCGAGAAGGATATCCTTTCCAAGTGGCACTTTTATGGATTTCCAACATGACTTCACTTTATATCAAACTCAAAATGAAGCTTCAAGAGCCTTTTACATTTCATAAAATATAGGAGAACAATCCATA